ATCACCCCAGCTCATCTTCCGCCCGGCCCTGCAACACTTCCACTTGCTGATTCGTCTGCTCGCCCGGGCCAACGTGGTGGGGCACCAGGCCGTGGATGCCCGGAGTCGTCCCCCCTTGACCCGCGCCGGACATCTTGACGACTCCAAGGTCGCGCTGCCTGTCGTCGGGTTCAACGTGTGTCGCAAGTTTGTTCACGACTTGCAGGTGAGGACCTAGCCCAACACTCCGTGATTTACGTCTTTTTCAACACAATTTAGTCCCGCCCCCTATTGTAGCAGTCTGTTGTACGCATTAGTTTCGTCTAGATCTAATCTTGGGAAAGTCCGTCTTGTAAGACGCCATTGTAAACAAGTGACATTTCCGTTCACTAACCGTGCGCACCTTTGACATTCTGGGGTGTGCAACCACGAAAGCGGAATAGAGAATCCATCTATACATCTCTTTATGTAGATCGAGAATCTCTAATTTTTTGCATCTCTCAAGATTTATTGCTCCATTCCTGTAGAGTAAATATAGAAATATAGTAGGCCAATGACTTTCAGTTGATGTCCACCGATCATTCCTTTCATGGAAAGGAGGCTCAGCTCCTATATAGAGGTGTATATCTGGCACTCAATCAGGACAGCTGGTATATAGAGGTGTATATCTGGCACTCAATCAGGACAGCTGGTATATATAGAGGTGTATATCCGGCACTCAATCAGGACAGCTGGTATATATAGAGGTCTATATCTGACACTCAATCAGGACAGCTGGTATATATAGAGGTCTATATCTGACACTCAATCAGGACAGCTGGTATATATAGAGGTCTATATCTGACACTCAATCAGGACAGCTGGTATATATAGAGGTGTATATCCGGCACTCAATCAGGACAGCTGGTATATATAGAGGTCTATATCTGACACTCAATCAGGACAGCTGGTATATATAGAGGTGTATATCCGGCACTCAATCAGGACAGCTGGTATATATATAGAGGTCTATATCTGGCACTCAATCAGGACAGCTGGTATATATAGAGGTGTATATCTGGCACTCAATCAGGACAGCTGGTATATAGAGCTCTATATCTGGCACTCAATCAGGACAGCTGGTATATATAGAGGTCTATATCTGGCACTCAATCAGGACAGCTGGTATATATAGAGGTGTATATCTGGCACTCAATCAGGACAGCTGGTATATATATAGGTCTATATTTGACACTCAATCAGGACAGCTGGTATATATAGAGGTGTATATCTGGCACTCAATCAGGACAGCTGGTATATATAGAGGTCTATATTTGACACTCAATCAGGACAGCTGGTATATATAGAGGTGTATATCTGGCACTCAATCAGGACAGGAGACAAAGACAAGAAAAGACAGAGGACGAGCGAGTGAGAAGTGGACGCCTACGTTTGGAAAATGTGAAAACCTTGTCCTCATAGCTAGCTCAAGGCGGCCATTGTCTGTGTCTGTCTGTGTGTCTGTCTCTGTGTGTGTGTCTGTCTGTGTCTCTCTGTGTGTGTGTCTGTCTCTGTCTGTGTGTGTCTCTGTGTGTCTGTCTCTGTCTGTGTGTGTCTTTCTGTCTCTGTCTATGTTGTCTGTCTGTCTCTGCTGTCTGTCTGTTTGTCTCTGTCTGTTTGTGTGGTATAATTGACTTCTTCCTCCCCCCCCCCCCCCCAGAACATCTTCGGAGAGTACGCCATGTTTTTCCACGACCCATTCGGTGGTGACGTCATTGGCCTGGTGTGGAAGCCGCAGGTCTCGGAGGTCACGGGGTTCAAGGTCAGTCTGTGTGCTCGGGGCTGTTGTGTGTACGATTGTCTGTGATTTACACGTGTTGTGTCTATGATTGTCTGTGATTTACACATGTTGTGTGTACGATTGTCTGTGATTTGCGTAGGTGGTTGGCGGGTGTTCTTGTGTGGTTTGCTCCTTCTTTCCTATCCAACATCTATCAACTACCGGTATCATCCTAATCTCTCCTCCTTCTTTTGTGTGTTTGTTCCCCTCTTGTAACTCCTCTAAGTCTAATCTGCGACACTTCTATGACCTTATTCTGTTTGTTACTCTCTTGTAACTCCTCTAAGTCTAATCTGCGACACTTCTATGACCTTATTATGTTTGTTACTCTCTTGTAACTCCTCTAAATCTAATCTGCGACACTTCTATGACCTTATTCTGTTTGTTACTCTCTTGTAACTCCTCTAAGTCTAATCTGCGACACTTCTATGACCTTATTATGTTTGTTACCCTCTTGTAACTCCTCTAAGTCTAATCTGCGACATTTCTATGGCCTTATTGTGTTGCTAGTGCCGTAAAACTCTAATTCCAAAAAAAGTGATTTACACATGTTGTGCGTGTGATTGTCAGTGATTTACACATGTTGTGCGTGTGATTGTCAGTGATTTACACATCACCCCATGAACCACTAACCTCTCTCTCTCTCTCCCCCCGCCCCAGGCGTCCAGCTTCCCATACCGGCGACCCAGCGTGGGGCACGGAGAGACGGTCAGTCTGACCGCTGGGAGGGAACACATCCTGGATGACATCCGGCTGTTGGGAGGGGGGATTGTCCAGTCGATTGAGGCTCCGGGGGATTGTCCAGTCGATTGAGGAAATATGGGGGGGGGGGGGG